AGTGGCTTTATTCTCAAGAACTCACATCTCTGATCTGCCTGGAGCTCTGGATTTTGTGAGCGCCTATGTTTCAGGCATTGCTGGCTCTCCTGGGGAGGGGCATGGACAGCCTGGGAAGCCAAGACAAAGAGACCAGGCAGAGAGACACCTTCCCCACATTCACACCCCTGCCCCCCAGGTAGCTGTGCCTATTCTCCGTGGGCAAGAGCATCAGTAGAACACAGCTGTGCTAGGTGGTGCCTGTGGCTCAGTGAATGGGATGCCAGCCCTACATACCAAGGGTGGTGGGTGCCTGTAGTCCCAGCTACTCAGGAGGCTGAGACAAGAGGATCATTTGAGCCCAAGAGTTGGAGGTTGCTGTGAGCTGTGACGCCACAGCACTCTACCGAGGGGGACAAAATGAGACTGTCTCTAAAAAAACAACAGAACACAGCTGTGCTGTAATATTGCAACTGTCACTGGACACTACAGCTTCATTAGCATTATTTAAATAAGCTGCAAACTCCTTGCTCTGTACTACCCCATAGTCCCTTTCTAACTAAACATTTTAGCTGCAATCACCATAACAACTCGAACCCCATGGAGAGTGACAGGCATTAACCAGGGCAGAGGGAATTAACTAGCCCTTAGTTTAGAGAGGTTTGAAATCTCCTGGGGTTTTGTTTTTTTGCAGACTTTTGGCATTTTGTGAGATTCAGCCGCTGTCCACAAGGGCTCAAATGTCAGCTGGCATCCTAATGTGCTGGGGCAAAGACCTCGCTTGATCTTCCCTGGTCACTAACGTGGGACTTCTCTTGGAGTGCAAATTATCACAAAGCAAATTGGATGCAGTATGCTTAATTCAGCAGGAAACTTTATTTGCCTGTGGTTTGTAATGTGACTACAGTGGAGGTCTCACCCCCCACTTGGAAATGAATCTGCTGCAAAACCAATTTGCTGTATGTAGCTCAGCCTCTCCTTGTGCTTATGTCAATGGATAATAGGCCCAAGAAAGTGATCAATGTGTTTTGATTACCCTGAAATAAATGATGGGTGAAGTAATAACAGGAAAACTAAATTGCATTATGCAACAATTACATATAATAAAACACTAGATTTGCTCAGTAATGTATAGTTTTATATCTATTAACGGATATACATACGTGTGTGTGCATGTGTGTATAGAGAGCCTTTAGTATTGAAATGTCAACAGAGAAATAACTTTGTGCGTCTAAAATTCTTGCTACAAACCCATTATCCTGCTGAAATAATTGTTTGATTTTCAATTCTATGAGTTTATTAGCAATGTAAATACTGGCCAGGCATGGGGGTTCATGCCTGTAATTCCAGCACTCTGGGAGGCCAAAGCAGGAGGATTGCCTGAGCTCAGGAGTTTGAGGCCAGCCTGAACAAGAGCGAGACCCTATACCTACTAAAAATGGAAAAATTAAGGGCCTCTACTACAAAAAAATACAAAAATTTAGCCAGGTATTGTGGCAGGTGCCTGTAGTCCCAGCTACTCAGGAGGCTGAGGCAAGAGGATCACTTGAGCCCAAGAGCTTGACATTACTGTGAGCTATGACATTACAGCACTCTACCAAAGGTGACAGAGTTTGACTCTGTCTCAAAAATAAATAAATAAAATAAAAATAGCTCAGTGCCTATAGCATAGTGGTTACAGCAACAGCCACATACACCAAAGCTGGCGGGTTTGAACCCAGCCTGGGCCAGCTAAAACAAAAATGACAACTGCAACAAAAAATAGTTGGGCATTATGGCAGGCACCTGTAAGTCCCAGCTACTTGGGAGGCTAAGGCAAGAGAATCGCTTAAGCCCAAGAGTTTGAGATTGTTGCGAACTGTAACACCACAGCACTCCACTGAGGGTAACATAGTGAGACTCTGTCTCAAATAAATAATTAAATTAAAATAGAAAAATTAGCTAGGCACTGTAGCGGGCTCCTGCAGTCCCAGCTACTCAGAGGCTGGGGCAGGAAGATCACTTGGACGCAGGAGTCTGAAGTTACTGTGAGCTGGGCTGACACCTCAGCCCTCTAGCCTGGACAACTGAGTGAGACTGTCTTATTTAAAAAAAAAAGAAAAGAAAAGAAGAAAAGCAAATATTGTATGGCAAAATACCAGCGGTACCAAAATTATCTTAGTCCTTCATAGCTGTTACAAGTGTAAGCAAAGCGCATTTAGACGAGATGAGACAGGGCGTGGGCTCTCGGGCGGGTAGCACGAGGCCACTGATGTGCTGGTGAGCAATGGGGCACTCTGGGGATGAAAAGGCTTGAACTTTAGCCTTGCCCAGTTTCTGTAGTGTGATCCTCTCACCATGGCCAATCTCAGGCTGCCAGTGTGACCACAACAGAATGCAGATGTGGGAAAAGGTGGGCAGTCGCAGGCCATCGGATAGTATCCCCAGGAGACGTCAGTAACTTCAGGAGCACAGGTGGAAACGACATAATTAGGAAGGGATGAATTATGAGTATTTATTGGCTTTGCTTTTAATATAACTTACTCATTACTGGTTTATACAATTCCATTTTTAATACTGGCCATGCAACTGACTCACAGAGTTCCTGAACGTTTTGACAAGCAGCTGTCACAAGCGGGACTCAGCCAGCTCCTCACGGTGGGCCTGATGAGGGGCTCGTTGGCTGAGGGAGAAGGTCGCTAATCCCTCCCTCGCTGGGTGGCCCGAGTGCCTCCGGGAGGTGCTCCAGGCACCTAGAAGACTGCATTAATCAATTTCTGGCAGTTTCTTTAAAGTCATTAGGTCTTCTCATTATTGATGACACAGGCCCGCCACCTAGTGACGCAAAGGGGATAGTCTGGGTTTTCAGGACCGCTGGAGCTTGTCTGACACAGCCAGGAGGACTGTGCTGCAGACTGTGCTGTGGTGGCTCCCAGGTGAAGAGGAGACCGTGGCCGCCCCAGTGGCACAGACTTCCTGTGCTCCTGGCACATCTTATAGCAGAGACTTGGGAGCCCTCTGGGAGGTTGTCTTAGAATTAGAAAAAGGACCCAGGCTGAGGCCCTCTTGCCTCCTCCTGTTCCACCCTCAGAACACACAGGTTCTGGGCCAGGTTCAGGGGCCCCAGTGGTGAGTTCAGTTCAGACAGGCCCAGGTCTGCTGTCTCAGCAGCGAGGCAGCCAAATAGTCACACAAGTCACTATGACGCTGCAGTCAACCCCGTGCTCTGGCAAAGGCATGGGCTATGGGAGAGGACATGCGGGAGACTGAGGCAGTGGTGATGGAACTGAGCGCCAAGGGCTGAGCGGGGATTAGCAGTGCCGGGTGGGAAGAGCAGAGGTGCACGAGGATGTGGGATGAGGCGCGGCTGCTGTAAGGTGCTCACTCTGGGGAGACACTGCCCTCGGGAAGCATTTGTACCCCTTCTTAGTCACAGGAAAGAGCCAGACAATGGTGACGTGGGTGGCACCTAAATGGACCCACTCCTAGCACAAATACAAAGCTCTCCCCTCTTCCTTCCAGCATCCCCCCACCCCCGCACACTCGGCTCCCCAGCAAATGCTTCATCCCAGCACTGTCTGGCCTCTCCCACTCGGTGCTATAAGCAACATAGAGATGACTTAAAGCACACAGCAGGATGTGTGTAGATTTTGTGCAATTACTACACCCTTGTAAGCCAGGGACTTGAGCACCTGTGGACTTAGGTATCCACAGGAGTCCTGGAACCGGTCCCCAGGGATACTGAGAGGCAACTGTATTTGGGGTGGGCGTGGGTGTGCATGCACTCATGTGCATCTCTGTGCGTGCGCATGGGCTCCCAGCCTTGCTCATAGAACTGACAGGCTGGAGGTGCCCTCCCTCCCAGGCGTTCTAATGCACACCCCACCCTTTCCATTCCTGCTGCTGGGAAATCAGATGACTTCTGGTATCCAGGCTAATGGCTCTTACTAACCAAATGCTGACACATCCCCAGTATATAGGATGCTTAATTAAAAACCTGTTTGCCTGGCCAGCTTTCAGCGAAGCAATCACTTCTCAAGCAAGGAATGAGGATTTCCAATAGATGCTAGGTAATGGCTGTCGTGCTAGCAATCTGCAAGGTGCCTTTTCTCTATGCTGAAAGTGGTATGCATGCGTGCACTGTGTGGGTATAGACAGAGCCCAGTTCCCTGGGAGCCCCACCCCTGCTGGGGACAGCCCTCCTCACACTGCTGGCAGCCAGAGCCCCACCCCGGTAAGGCCTGACCCAATAGCAAGTCGCACTCTGTTGAGTTCTTGACCGATTCCTTTTAAAAGAAATCTTAAGTTTCTTTTGCAAACAAATGAATGTAGGCTTCACTTTGTCCATAACCAAATGGGTGGAAGAGTGGGATTTTTTGTTTGTTTCTTTCTTTGTTTTTCCCCTTTTTGGCCAGGGCTGTGTTTGAACCCGCCACCTCCAGCACATGGGGCCGGTGCCCTACCCTTTTGAGCCACAGGTGCTGCCCAAGTGGGATGTTTTTTATGTTTCTCTTCCTTTTTTTCTTTTTCTCTCTTTTTTTTTCTAAACGCCTTTCATAAACATTTAAGAAATAGTTGTTTGAAATGTGAGTAATTCTGGGAGGGAAGGCCATTAAGGAGAGGCACGTGTAGGCTTCTATGGCAGTGACGAAAGCTCAGCTGCCAAATTGAGGAGGGAGAGACAGATACATGAATGTTTGCTTTGTTATTTAAATTCGTAGATATGCTTTATAGACCTTTGTATGGATACATGTTCTTTCACATTAACTTGTATGCTGGGGACACAATAGCAACAGTAGCTATTTTCAGCTTATTGCAAAAGCACATAGCTCTTCTTAATCATTAGCTGCTCTTATTACACTAAGAATTTTTAAAACAGGTGTTTTTGTTCTTAGAGAAAACTTAAGGGGTGTGCTCTGAACCATAGAGCAGTATTTGAACTTGAACAGGTCGGGGGTACTCCCCACCCCGTGCTTCAAGCCAGAACACAGCCGTGCTGCCTCCCTTGTTCTGTCTCTCATTTGCCTCCACTTTCTCCACAGCGTCCGGAGACAAACGACCAGTCGGCCTCCCCCAGCAGGGGGCAGACCCAAACCCCAGCCCAAGCCTAAGCCTCAGGTGCCACAGTGCAAGGCTTTGTATGCCTATGATGCTCAGGACACAGATGAACTCAGCTTCAATGCCAATGACATTATCGATATTATCAAAGAAGGTAAGTTCATGGCTGGCTGGCTGGGACATCCTCCCAAAGAGCATGTGTCACATTGCTGTAAAATCCAGTTTAAACGTGAAGAGAATTTAGGGGCTCTGCTAACTGAAAGTTGTAGAGATAGGCAGCCTTCAGGCTCAGTTTGATCAAGACTCTTTCTTATAAGTATTTAACCTCATAAAGAGACTAACCCCTTCAGTGTGGTGAAAAGCACCAGAATCAGAGTTAGATAATAGGAAAGAGAACAGATGAAAACATTGTAAGTCTATAAATAGCTCCTTCACATAAATAAGACCAACAGTTCAGTCCAAAGTGGATAAAGGTTTCTGAGGCAATGTATAACAGAGTCTTGCTAATTATCAGTGAAGTGCAAAGCCCAACATTTCACTCATGACACCATCAAAGATTAAAAGGTGAGACAGCCCACATTCCTTTATGTAAGCCCTTGGAACCAGTTGAGCTTCAGAAATCAGAAACGGGAGCTTTTAGAAAGTTACTAACTGGCTCGGCGTCTGTGGCTCAACTGGCTAAGGCGCCAGCCACGTACACCTAAGGTGGCGGGTTCG